TATTTTGTTTTTTATTTTTTAGCTTAATATCTTCTTTTTCCGAAACATTTTGCCTAAAGTTGCTTAAACTCGTAATTTAACATTTTAAGGAGATTACGAAACACCTATTCACAGAAAATATAAAGTACACGACCCAAGATTTTATCTAAGCAAACATAACCTAAAATATTGTATGACTCTTTGTCAATATTGCTTTTTGTCAAATTACGTTGAATCACGGAAAGTACATGTTACCGCTGACAGCCTTATTAAGAGATCTTCGCGTAATCCGCTACAAGTTTTTAACGAAATAGATGTTTTTGGTAACAATACTTTTTGAAGTGGTAGGTAGACTACTGCAGTTAATAGATATGTGGATATCTACCACATAATAACAAGTCACTAAACGTCGTTTAAACGAAAATGGACTTATAAATAAATCTGTTCGCGGCTTACATAGTGTTATAGTACTATAAATATAACCTCAACAGTCGCATTTACATGAAGGAGAATTTCTTGATAATTAGTATTTGATGAATAGAATTATTATGATTGATAGTCAATCAACAATATATCCTTACCAAAAGAAACAGTAGCCATGACCTTTCTTAACAGAAGGCTGTTAGTTTTTTTTTGGAAATCTTTCATTTTCCAATTTCACTGTTTTAATTATTCCTTATTGTTATACTCTCTCTCTCATTCACATTTAAAAAAAATGTCAACTTCATTTGCTTAAATCCTCGTAACAAATTCTTAAAAATCTTAAAAGGATTGTGGTTCCATCAAATCACTAGTCAAATCACTTTTCGATATCTCGTTAATGACAGTTTTTGACTATATGGAACTGTTTTTATTTCATAAATTGTTTATAGTCACATATCCACATTTCTACTACTGCTGCAAATGATGTTGTACAGTCCCAGCAATTTTACTATAATTCTCCGCAATCAAGCTAATATAGTTTGGACTATAGCACTCCTTCAGTTTCACATTTATTTCTCAAGCACAGAAAAAAACAGATACTGAGTAGTTCTCAATGACGACTCGTATTATTTTCGGTTGGAGAGGCTTAAACAACTAACTCCGTATTAGAAGGCATCAAAAAGTTTTATTAGTAACATAGAAAGACTTTTTTTTAAAAATCCATAATAGATTGGCATATATGAACAGTTACGTACAGGTAGTGTATTGTATATATTGAATTCATCTTTCGTAAAAAAACCTTGACATTTACTTGTAGTATATTTGGTGGGGATATCACTGCTAGCCTCTGTGGTGAAGCTGCCACAGGTAAAACTTTAACAGTATAATCTTCAAATTTGAGTGCTGAAAACGTGCAATAAAATTATTACAAAGAGTTGCCAATACTTTTGCTTTCTATCGAATAACTTGCCTGCTTTAACCTTAAGTAAATGAGTTGCTGGTTGCTGGTAATTAGCGTCTTCAATATTGTCGTAGGGGTCTTTCATAAAAAACGTTCAGGATTTTGTATTATGCGACTGTTGCCACAAACATTATATCAATATTTTTTATGCACACAAAATTGTAATAAAGAGTTATACATTATAGGAAAGTATTTTGTAACCCCAAAATAAATAACCCTGTATTTTTATTTAATTTGAAAAAGATATTACTAAAACATTTTACATTGAGAGGGACCAAGCGCCACTAGGGTACTTACACAGAACAATCTGCTCTAGATGCACAGAAGTTTATTCCAAGACTAATCTGCTGAAACCTCTCACAACTTTAGATTTTAGGTCACTATTCCAAATAAACAGGACCTGTAAAAGATATGCAGTATTCTGTCTTATATTCACAAATTTTCAGTAATGGATTCAAAACTAATGAAGTGCACGACACACACTGTTCCTTAAGCTTAAACCTTAAAGATTTTTAAATTATCTTATCTTATCTTAAGATTAGTATCATACTTTCGGTAAAAAGGAAGCAAACTATATTTTCTAATATCAATCAAGCTGTAAAGTCCTAGTCAAAACGATCATATCATCCAAACTGGTATATTAATGTTGTAAAAACGGATTAAAAAATGTCAGCACCAGACTTTAACCCGTCCATGGGTCCTCGGAAGTGACATATATAAGGGGGACAGCTTTTTAGAGTTCAAATCCTCCCAACCGTAAATATTTCAAACCATTTCATAATAGATATAATGAATTTTTTTTTAATTAAATATGTTTATATTAACTTTGAACTTGTTTTTAAAAACAACCCTTGAATTAGTCCCTGTTCAACATATCATGCTAGAAAAGGAGAAATAAACAAGAACTTAACCCTATTCCTGAGCTTATCAAAAACAATCTCATTGATTTCATGTCCAATTTAGGACCAAAAGCTAAAACACCCGGTCTGTAAACAATCCACACTCATCTTAACAGAATTAAGTGGCACGTCTATTAATAGGTACGATTACTATTCCACCGCGAAACATCTCACTCCGATTAACTTCACTGACGAACTAACGAAATTAACGTACTCGATACTACCAACTAATGACAGCAAACCACTGATGGGATCAGCTAAAACAAGATAATGGGCGCGGTCAAGCACGCCTCACATATGTAAAAAAAATAGGTGTAACACACAACAAGAATATAATCATATTATCAATCAGGCTGCCTTAAAAAACTCATGAAAGCAACGTAATCTCAAATTTAGTGCTTAAAAGAAAAAGAATCCTTCACCGTTTTGACCTTAGCCAGAATATTAAGGAAAATGAATTGACAGATAAACTGACTGGAAAAAGTACTGATTTGGAAAATTCAGTTTTAGCACCGACTCTTTTGAGAGAAATCATATTACAAGTTCACATTACTAGTAAACAGGACCACGTCACAATCTTACAACATTAAGAATATTATAAATATACCTCTGCCCACATTCGCAACTATAACTAACGTTATGAATCAAATACACTGGTTCTATTGTTTTATGGATGGACGTAACTAGGGCATTCGCACTAGTTGTTCTGGTAAAGTTCTACTTGCTTCTTTTCATTTAACCGGAAAAAATTGGAAAGTATTCAATTGATCATAGGTTGTCTTTTCTTCTGTAATAAGAACATAACGGTTTCACTAAATGATTTTCAAAAAAAGAGGCGATCACTTATTAATGATTTTATTTTTATTTATTATATTTTTGTTGTTTGCATTACATTATTTTCAGGTTTTTTCTCCGGTAGTTTTCTGTTTGTTTTGGTAATCTGCAGCTGGGTTGAGATTGCAATTTTTCTTACTTCTTTTCGATTTTTTCTTTTTTAGGAGTAAGTAACAATAATTTCCATTTCTGATATTTTAATATGTATTCACTTCTAAGTATTATTTTTGTCACTTCTAGCTGGAAGTTAAATCAGTCAACCTTAGAAATTTATACATTGAGTCACTATGACCTCGATTCTTCTGATCTGTTCGTTTAGATTGTACGGGGTTTGGATTACAAACTTTGCTGGTGGAAATCGACTTTGAGCGCAAAACTAGTTAACCAATATCGATTTTGGCATATTAAAATAGGATCAACAAACTTCAAAGCTAGACTGAAAATTGAATTCGCATAATACCTTTTCCTGAACACAGTGCTAAAAATATTGCGTTATCGATAAGTTTTTGGTACAAAAATGGCGAAATGTCAGAGTTTTTTAAAAAATTCTGTTCCACGAGGTACTTGAAATAAAATGTACGAGTAAAGTCGGTGTGGCAATTTAAATTTTCGACAGGGATGTTACGCTCTCTCAGATGTTCTCATTTACTCGAAAATCTGATGGTGGAACGTGCTTTTGTTTACACAGTGATACTTGAAGTTACTACGAGTAATGGAACGAACCTATTATATATTGCTAGTGCCAAGTTAGCAACGTTGCTATTGAAGCTGGATTGTTAATTATGAAAAAATTTAAAAAAAGATTCAGAGATATTTAACATTTGTTTTGAAATATTGAACTAATATTTATTTATATTTCTTGAGCATATTTTCTATATTATAAAGTTTTTTCTATAAAACTTGAAATTTACTGAATTTACAAGCTTGACTTTGACCTTAAATTTCACAAATATGTATGACTCTAGTTTTATGTTCTTCATTGCCTTAATTAGTTCTGTATTAATATTGTTTCTAGATTTTTCTAAAAATAATTTTTTTGAAAAAATCAATATTTGCTAATTTTTTTTTTTCTTATGATTTGAAAAACACGCATTAGAGATCTAACGTTTATTTACCAATCGAAGGACTTTTCAAAATTTTATAAATAATATGCATTTTTGTTCAGTTTATTTAATTTTATTTACAAATAATAAGTTTTTCAGTAATTATTTATAAATAACAACCCAAGTTTCCATAATGTTTCCAGCTGATTGCTCATCAATTTATTAAAATATGTAACAATTATCAAAATGAAAACCCAAAACAATAATGTAAACGCAAAATTAATTTTAGTAAATTTCCCTGACTAAAATTCGTAATGTAAACACCGTCTATAAAGGTGTGAAAAATGCTTTTATTTAACTTGGTATGTAAGTTATATGTAGCGAATCCACAGTATTTGTTTTAAATATGAAAACTATGTATCATGTGTAAATGTAAAGCTCACAAAAACTGAATAATGCGAGATCCATTAAAATTTTTAATCCAGTGTTGAGTTTCATAATATTCAAATTTTATTTAATTCAAATTCTATAGAAAATGTATATTCTAGTGATAGATTAGTTTTAGCCATCAAAATAACTCAGCACAAAGTAAGCATATATAAATCAAACCATTCCAATTAAAAAGGTTTATTTCATCTTACTTTTAAAAATTAAGTGTGCAACAATATTTTGTAATTTTACTACGAACTTTTGGAAATACAATTATCATATGCTCTTTTTCAATAATAAATACTACCCAAATGCAACCTTGTGCAGCACAAATATGTTCCACAAAGAACAAGTTACGTAAAGGTACTTTCCCGTTCAATCATCTCATAAAAGTGTTAACTTATTAAAATAAAAAACAACGTCATATTTTTATTAGTTATTTATTTCAAATAGATTTTTATAATACAGTTACACCGTCTAAAACCTTTTCAGAAGGAAGTACAAATTTAGTGGTGAAATTCCCGAAAGCAGAACTGTAAAGAAAAAAACTTGTTAGCAAACAAAATAACAACATATTTTAATAAAATATTGAAATAGTTTCAGTAGGACCTATTTTAGAGGATTTTTGTTGCGGTTAATGTGATGTCATGCCACATATATCAGAACAATTTTTTTCATCATGCATAAATTAATTAGTAAAAGATCTATTCATACATATCCTATAATTACCTTCTTTATCTTTGTTTTCATCACGATTTAATACCATTTCCAATATTGTCAATATCCATAATCAATCTAAAATATAAAAACAATAATATAGATATAAATATAAACCACATATAGACATAGATAGTGGTATATGTTATATATTCAGTAGGACCTATTTTTAGAGGATTTGTGTTGCGGTTAATGTGAAATCATGCCACATTTTCAGATATATTCTTTCATCAGATAAAATAAGAACCACGAATGTTAAGAAATATATTATTAAAACTCACCATTCCTCAGTTAATATTTTTCAGTATCCATTCTGATAAGGACCATTGGCACACAGCATTACATTTATTTAACATAATTAAAGTTCCACTGCAAATAAACAAAAAATGTATGCAACTGTTATATCTCGGTAATTGATGTAAAATATATTTTATTTGCACTCAACATAACTTGTTTTCAGTTAATTAATTAACTAGTGTACTACAACTAATCTAATAATTAAAATTTAGAGAGACTGGAAGAAGAAGAATGCTTACTATGAATAGACTATTAAAGATAGTCTATTCAAATGGCATAAAAAAATCTCAATTTAGTTTATGAGCTTCATGTCTTAAATCGTTTCGGTGAATACCTGTTCACACGGGAAATCTTCATCTCATCTTGATTAGTTTTTAATTTATGCTTTTGTAGTTAAGCTTGACAAACATTGCAGTAATATTTTATTTTACTAGTTAATGAGAATCAATCATTGTGAATTGTCTGAAATTTTGACTGCGGAATTCTTGTATATAAATCGAATTACAACTTCAATTTGATAATGTAATGAAGCCGTGTTAATAATCATTTCACTACAATTTGTTTTGTCAGAATCTGAGCATTGTTTTGCTGGTATGCGGAAAGAATTTTTTTTAATACAATATATAATCCAATATAGTAATCGTGAAGGCACCATTACAAAACTGAAAGTTCTATTCTATTTAACGTGTTAATTCAGAGAACTTGTTAAAAATGTTATCATTGCAGTCAGATTTCATTACTATATATATGGTGCATAAAAACAAAAGGTAAATGATGGTGTTTATATCATATTTTATACTCTATTTAATTATAACTATACATTTTTAAATTAATAAGTACTTATTTCCACTCATTCCAATAAACTCACCTATTTTAAATTATTTGGTATTCAATAGCAATCTTTGTAGTGCTCTGAAAAAAATAAAATAAAAAATTTATTTAATACAAAAATATTAGAAATTAAATACAAAAGTTATTTATAATCTCAGTAAGACCAATCCATTCGCATTCAACATAACTTTTTTTCAGTTAGGGGCGAAAGTTATTATTCATCATGTTTAAGTACGATTTTTTAATGTCTTTTAATAATGAAAATAAAGAATGAAGGAAATAGATAAAATAAATAAGAAAAAATAACAAGATGTGAAAAAAAACAGGATAATATTTTAAAGGGAAAAATAAAAAAAAACCAATTTCTTAATGAATAAACAGTAATTTATAAAATAAAAATAATTTTTATTGTTATAATCATGTATTCAAATTAGAACTTATTTTTGAGTACATAAATTAGCTCATAATTTATTTAAATTTATAAACTTACCTTTTTATTTAAATGAGATTTTAAAACAAAAATTATATGTATCTGTAACGAAATAAAAAAAATATATTATTGAAGAGTTTCTATAATCTGAAATTATTTTCTATACATTATGTGTATTCAGAAAGACCAATGAATTTCGCGTTCAACAGAATTTTCTTCAGTTAGGGGCGAAAGTTATTGCTCATCATATAAAAAACAAGTACTTAACATTCATTTTAACCTAATAGTATGCTCAAACTAAAGCATTTATTATAATAATGTCTTTTACTTTAATAAATGGAATGTGAATCGTAATAAAAACAAAATTGTTGAACTCAATAGCTTTATTATCTCCGAAAAGCAGGGTTGTATCCAAATTTAACATTGAATGTTTTTAATGAGATCTATAATCGTTTGAACGTACTATAAGTTTAAAATCTAATTAGCATTGGTTTGAAATTTTTAAATTAATTTTTAATTCAATACTTGAGATTATAAACTTACCTCATATTTGTCCAAAATTTAGTTAGTGATTTTAAAACCATTGCAGATGTCAGTAACTGTTGAATAAATATACAAGAACATATTAGTAAAAAATCTAATTTAATTAAAATTATATTCTACAATCTACATTAAGACTGAAAAGTTTTCGGAAATTCTCATTTAAAATTCGCGCGCTGTATATTTTTCGATATTTTAAGTTTATGTAGTTTGGCAGCACTGTCCTTAATTACTATGCCAAAAATGAGCGCGATCTGTCAGACAGTTCGTTTACGGCAGCTGTTGAAACCAGTTCACCTCAGTAGTGCGTTGCGAAATGTCTTCGACGGTCGTACGACCGTCCTGAAAGGCTTTGTACCACTCATAAACTTGAGTTTTCGATAAAACTGATTCCCCATAAGCCTTTTGTAGCATTCGCAACGATTCTGCACACGAAATTTCGTTCGAAACACAAAATTTGATGCAAACTCTTTGTTCAATATTTTTTTTCCATTGTTTTTTTCGCAACGCACTACTGAGGTGAACTGGTTTCAACCGCTGCCGTAAACGAACTGTCTGACAGATCGCGCTCATTTTTGGCATAGTAATTGTCCTTAATTGCTGCCAAACTACATAAACTTAAAATATCGAAAAATATACAGCGCGCGAATTTTAAATGAGAATTTCCGAAAACTTTTCGGTCTTAATGTATAATCAGAAAGACCAATGAATTTCGCGTTCAACAGAATTTTTTTCAGTTAGGGGCGAAAGTTATTGCTCATCATATAAAAAACAAGTACTTAACATTCATTTTAACCTAATAGTATGCTCAAACTAAAGCATTTATTATAATAAATGTCTTTTATTTTAATAAATGGAATGTGAATCGTAATAAAAACAACAAAATTGTTGAACTCAATAGCTTTATTACCCCCGAAAAGCAGGGTTGTATCCAAATTTTACATTGAATGTTTTTAATGAGGTCTATAATCGTTTGAACGTACTATTAGTTTAAAATCTAATTAGCATTGGTTTGAAATTTTTAAATTAATTTTTAATTCAATACTTGAGATTATAAACTTACCTCATATTTGTCCAAAATTTAGTTAGTGATTTTAAAACCATTGCAGATTGTCAGTGACTGTTGAATAAACATACAAGAACATATTACTTAAAAAAATCTAATTTAATTAAAATTATATTCTACAATCTATAATCAGAAAGACCAATGAATTTCGCGTTCAACAGAATTTTCTTCAGTTAGGGGCGAAAGTTATTGCTCATCATACATAAATAAATTTATATTTGAATAAAAAACTTTAATATATATTATTATTATCAATATTAAAAATTGATATTTACCTTTTCAGTCAACGTTGTTTTGCTCTTTAAACTTCGTTTGTAGCAACAAATATCTTAGCACTTTGGCTATTCCAAAAAAAAAAATTTTTTTTTACTAAATCACATAATAAATAAAGATAGTTTACCTGCACGTCGCAGAACTGCTTACATAGTAAGTATGCTAAACTTCTAAATTAATTTTTTAACTGTTTAAAATTCAAAGCCAATTGTTACTTGCTTTCAGAATTGTATTTTATAGAACTTCTATATTCATATCTATAGAATATATCTATTAAGTAAAAACTTACAAAATATAATTACTTATGGCTAACATTATAAACTAGTTTGTATAGGTTTACATTCTAACACATTACGTACATAGGAATATAATACATCTAGATTGTAAAATGCATTGAAGTTACTTAAATCAATGTACAAAATAGAGTGCTTTACAAAAAGACATCTACTCAGACTTTACGCACTTCACATTTCCTTCACTAACTGTTTCTAATCCTTAATGGAAGTATGGAGAATGGTAATTGTTTATTTTATTCTTGTTTTTAGGCTTCGTAACCGCATCCTGAATATATCAGTATATATGGAGAGTAAATATTCCTTCTAAAGGATTAATCTAGGATTCGATCTTCTCCTATTTTATGTGTATTTAAAAGGGTGTTCAATCAAATATGCTGCATATGATTGAAGTGGAGGAGTCTTTAGATTCGAAGCCGACAGTTCAAATGATTTTTATTCATTTTCTTGAACTCTTTCTTTATCTTTATCCTTCTTCTTTTTCTTCTTCTTCTCTTTCTTTTCACCTTCAGGTGCTTCATCAGCTGCAGGCATGTCAGTTTCTCCAGTTTCTGCAATATTACTTTTCTTTTTCTTCTTCTTTTCGCTTTTCTCTGTTGGTAACGCTGAAGTTCCCTCCGCACTAGATGTACTTAGCTTGCGCTAAAAAAAGAAAAGAGAATACACATTTTATCAATGTTTTTGGGTTAAACAAAATAAAACATATAATGCTTTAGCATTGCCAAAACTTGAACCCTTCTCACACACTGGTATTGGAAGTTTACTAACAAATATTTGACAATGCGAAAGTTTAATGTTTATATTAAAACGAGTACATTAAAAGATGAGATGAATCAAGTTTGTCCAAATAATGTTTATTCAATTTGAATGTGAATAAAGGACAATATCCCTCTCAAAATTTCACTTAACTGTTAGTGGTGTTTCAGTACTTATCGTTATATTGCCGGATACAATAATTCAAATATAAAATACCCCCAAATTAAACCACATGAGAATTATAATTTGTATAAACATTTTCCTTGTTTTCAAAATTGTTGTTGTTCCTTTAAAGCAAAAAAACAAATAAAATTTTCTAAAAGTTTGGTTCTATTTTTTTTTTGTTACTAAATATGCACAATAATGTGGTAAGATTAGGGAATTCAAATTATTTGTAAGAACATGTTTTCTTATTTCGGACTATTGAGAAGAATTATTGGAGTTTTGAAAGTCTAATGAATTAAAATTAAACATATAATTAAGCCTGCTTTTGCAATACAAGCTGATATCTGAAACTTCATTTTTAATTTTCATATATCTTAATTTAATAGATGATCGTAGTGGTCGTACTTATTTATTTAAAAATGAACAAACATTTTTAGCGCCTAGTTTTAGTTTTTTAATATAAAACGTATAATTTAAAATTGATTGATTATTATATATTATATATTGATTGATTATAAAAAAAAACATAAACTACTTAAATATTTAGGTAAAATCATCATAATTACCTTCTTCGTTTCCTCATCATTACCATTTGCTGGGGAAGACTGTGCTGGTACTGAGGCAGGTTTCCTTGAGTTATAGTCAACAAAGCCAGTTAACCACTCTTTTGGTGTATTTTCATTTGGCCGACCAAACTTATCCAATTTACCAGCTGCTATAAGTGCTTTCTTAGCTGATGCTTTAGGACCCAAACCCCACTTACGTGGATATGTATCACGTTCCATTATGATACGCTTTATTTTAGCAACAACACCATGGTCACAAGAGGCCATTGTCGCAGTAGTCATTTGTGCAATTGCTAAGCAAACAGCTTCACCTTTTGTGGTACAGATCACAATTTCCTGATCCATTTCAATGCCATCTTCATAACGTAATACACCAGGTAACATAATTTTGGCACCATAGCAAACTGCATTAACCTTTTTAAATAAATAATTGAAGTTAGTATTAGGTATGTAGGAAATATGCATTTAAAAATTAAAATATTTGCTTTTTATATATCAAATGATTATTAAATTTGGTTTGAAATTGTACACCGAATAACTCTTTGTTTAGTTTGCTGATTTGCGCACAAAACATACACACATCGGTAAGTTTCGTGTTCCCAATCATAGTCACATAAAGAACTGGGGAATATTCTTCATGCCGGCTTATATCATGGGGTATTATATATTATAAAACGACATATTGTTTACTTACCGAACTATCTTTCATGATAATACGCTTATGATTAATCAACAAGCCTTCTAATGGTTTAATTACTCGTCGAAGCATTGATTCGTCTTTATGATTCTCATATAAATACATTGCATCGAGCACATCATGCATAGTCACCATACCATCACGTTCCGATTGTATACCGGAGCGTACACGTCTCAGTTCCAGCATTTGACCACCTACTCCTAGCACTAGACCCAAGTGTACACACATGGTACGTATGTATGAACCAGCCTCACAACTAACCCAAAAAACACCTTTAATTTTACAAGCAAACAAAAAAAGTTTATTTGAAAAAAATTCGTGTATTTTCGACTGCATCCGCAGTGCAAAAAATCTTTTAATGTCGCATTCTTCATTTTCTTTTTGTTTTAATACAGAAAATATACTATTGAAAAAATAAAACATTTCTTTGATTCAAGCAAGAAACGTTGAACTTTTTGGACAAATGCTTTAAATATTTTTTAATTTAATCTATAAAATTATCACTTACCCATTTGACGCTTTTCATCGTAGTCCAACAATTTGCTATCATAGACAGTACGCACTCGCAACTGGCGTTTAACAGCTGAAATAAGTGGTGGACGTTGGAATAGTGCTCCACGCAATTTCTCTAAACCCTGACGTACTTTTGCAACCGATTCTACTGGGCTATGCAATTTAAATACAGCTACGTACTCCTTTCCCGCGCTCTGCTGTGATTTTACAAGTCGTGTCGCACGATCAATACAAACAATCAGGCAGCCTGAGAACATACATATATGGTTTTATTACAAAATATAATACTTATCAACAATCAATACTATAATGGTACGATTGTATATCTTATATCGGATTTATGAATTTTTAATTTAAAAAAATATTTATTTTAGTTTTATTCGCTAGATTTGGGAAAGCACTTCCGCAATTAGAAGCATATTTATAACCTCTAAATTGATTGAATATTTATTCTAACCTAAAACTGTTGATGTGCCATTCTTACCTGTTACTTTCGGATCGAGCGTGCCAGAATGCCCAGTTTTTTCGCATTTTAGAATCTTCTTTATCCATGCTACAATCTCGTGTGAGCTAGGATTTGATGGTTTATCCACATTGATATATCCAGATTTAATATATTCCCTAATGTCGCGGTTAAGAGGTGACGCTCCATTTGCCAATGGCGTGTAGTGATTTGTGCGCACATTTAATTTATCAAAATTCTTTAATAAAAGTGGCCATTGTGACGTATCGAGCACAGCAGCTTTTGAAGAAGGCTTCACGGCAAATTCACATGACTTTTGAAGCTCACCAACGTCAGTATCTACTGGCTCCTGTTTAATTTTCTTTTTCTTCTTTTCCTTTGTTACTATAATTAGACGAAATAAAATAAATTCAAATAATTAACACCCGCGCAAGCGAAGAAATTTATATTAAAGCTATCAAAATCAAACGAAGTTAATAAAGAGACTCTTACCAACTTCAGCCATTTTAGATCACTATTTAATTTATATTATTTCAAACACGACACCTATCTTCACTTCCTCAAACGTCCACGCGCCACGGCATGAGGTTAGTAAAAGACCAACACTCTGACATATCTTTCGATGCACGTGTTTTGGACGTTTTTGACATGCTCTTGCGGAAAAAATTGTAAACTTTAGATAGCAATTTGTGCAAAGAATATCAGCAAGAATTGAAAGTAGAAATAACAGAAAAATTGCGTCAAAATTCATATAGGCCAAGTGCGAGTTCGAGTAAATTGATGGTAAATTGAGTGAAATAGTATATAATGTCGTTATGACAACGAATGTTGGTATTTACCAGAATTTCCAGTACGGTAAATTAGATAAAAATTAGGTTAATTGGTTGTTGCCATTGTGAAAATTTTATAAAATGTTTAATAAATTAATAAATTTATTTGAAAAGTTTTAAACAGAAATAATACATAAATGCAGTAAATATATAAATAAATATTTAGATAAGTGCAGTGCAAAAAATCCCTAGGAAATTTCAATTTACTTTATCTCATTTTATTCAAACTCGCACACGGCTCTAAAATTATTTTAATGGTTATGTTGCGTACATATTTTCTAATTAACAACACTTTAGACATTTTATGAAGTGTGTACTGGTAATTTCATATAAGAACACGTGCACTTATCAAATTCAAGCACGTTACTAGTTACGTGAATTGTAGCCCGTTGAAGCAGCACCTTCAATTGCATTTCATAGAATTTATTCCAACACATCATATAATAAAGGTGCAAACACACCAAAGCCAAATTTTGCGTATGAATAAATATTCACAGATAATCGTAACTGCAAAAGCTCTTTCTTTCGCAAGCGTTTGCTTTGGTGTGGATGCACCTTAAGATGAAATTCGAATACCAATATATGACATGCAATTGTTGTTGTACATATACTGCAATACTAAAATTACTGTTATTTAAAACCAGGGTTCTATTTGAAGTTTACAAGAATTAAACAATGAACATCTTCAATGAAAGAATTAAACAGACATTAAAAATATCTAAAACTATTCTGGCATTTGACATATGTTATTTGTTTACGTTTTGTATCGGTATATATCACATTCACACTGTCTTACTTAAGCGGTTTTGCTCATTATAGCCACAATTGAGAATAATTTATCACCCACAAATCTTTCATATAAATAAGTTTATTATCAATAAATCAGCTCATTTACGGCGAAAAATCTCGAATGTGCAACCCTTAAAAATAAATTTCTCACAAGGGAAATGACACGAAATTTGAAATATGTGTCATATATCAAATGTAAAACGTAAACAAACAAGAGCTGAGTTGTAAGCAAAGGCGCTGAGGAAGTAAATATTTAATAAAATACTTATTAAATATTTAAAATATTTACTTATTAAAATATTTAAATTATTTATAAGAAATGTGTTTATTAATTGAATATGGATTTGATATACAAAGTTTATATATTAATTATAAATTTAAATTTTTTGTGTTGTATATTATTAAATGAAATTGATAAAAGTTTTTTCAGTTGCATAAATGAGGTCATTATATTGTGAATTAATATAAATGAGCTAGTGCCTAAATGAGACAGGATAAATGTACTATTAGATATATAAAAAATGGGTGGAAACCGCATTGGTTGAGGTTGGCGATGGGCATATCTTGAAACTGCGTAGTATAAAACGAAATACTCCAATAAGTGTTAAATTTGTAAAATGCAATTAAAACAAAAAAAATTGACGTACCGTTAATTACAATCAAAATGCTTAGCTTGAAGATCTATTTATATTAATTCTGTTTTTTAGTTTTGTAAGCACATATTTGATTAAATTCACGTACAATGTAAAATCCGTCAAAAAAACTATTTAACAGATTGCATCAATAATGCTAAAATAACAACAAAAAATTTAATGACGCGCCATATGATGCCCGCGTAGGAATGTAAAAATTGCATTTACGATTTGCCGCTAGATAATATGTTTTATTTTTTTAATTCGTGCATTCAGTCTAAGAATTTTTAATTTTAATTTTTCAATTTAACATAAAATTGCTTAGTTCAGTGGAATTTTTCAAAATTCATTAACAAATCAATTATCGTTTTATTATTCTTTCTATCTTTCTTATACTCTCTTCATGTACTTCTATAAATTTTAAACTATTTATTCTCCACAATTTTCACATTTCTAATACTTTTTAATTTTGATTGAATTTTTGTTTACAATCTTTTGACATATGATTGGAAAATTCGTTAACATTTTCTATGAAGGTTCACAATAGTTCGCTCATTGCATTGATAACATTTTTTTCTAGTCGCTAGAGAAAGTAGTATTGTTGCATTATTTTATTAATTTTTATAATTATTATAATTGATGAATATATGTAATATCTATTTCTAAAAACTTTCTAATTAGTTTCTTAAATATTTCTGTTTGAGTACGACTTTACATATGCCAACTGTCAAAACACAGTGGTGACAACTCAAGATAAAATCGATGCCGCCAAATAGAAAAATTTCTGAACAGAAAAACGAAGTTCACAGCAAAGCAGCGTTTGTCAGGTTTGTACGACGCGGAGAAGTTGTAGTTGTGTTGTGTATAGTTTTTTGTTAACCTTGTTTAAACCGTTTTTTTTAAATCATTTTTAATCTGTAATAAGTTCATGATATTTAAGTATTAAAAATAACAATTGTGATCGTTTTTAAATAGAAAACTAACGGAAAACGAAGTTTACAATCCAACGGCGTGTGTAAAGCAGCGCGTTGCAAGTAAATTGTTGAAATTTTGTTGTGAACAATTAATATTTACGTACTTTAATTTTGTACTTTCCACTCTATACTATTTCAGATCTGTAATAATTGTATATTATCTAAGTACTTTAATAAAGCCACATTAGAAGTGAATATTCTGATTGTTGCCGAGAGTAAAAAATATTTACTTCGCAAAGGAAAAAGAACCTTGGTTCTTAATATATTTGTTTTGTATTTTAAAGTACAGAAATCTTGTATTGGCGAAAGTATAAATTAAACGCCATGCCGCGTACCAAAATATCCAAGACAACAAAGCGCAACCGTGAAGCTGCTCATCGTGAAGAAAAAATTCGTGATTATGAATCATCGGTGGATTCGGGACTGATAGCTATAGATACAAAGGGAATGGAGTTTGTTAGTGATCTAGAGAATGCCATGAAAATGCTTATAGATCGTACAAGTCGCCAGTTATTGAAAATGAAGTTTGGAGATTTTATGGCCTTGGTAAAAAATAATTACGCTTTTTCGTAAAATATTTATATATTTTTATAAAATATTTATCTTGTAGAATCTGAAATCTTTCAATGATTATTCCGAAAATACCAGTTCACTTGAAAATATAAATGCATCAAAATCCATGTGCAATAGCGCCACGCAAATGCGGACTTTAAAAGTGCCCAGTATGAATGACGAAGGTAAATTAAAGAATTTGTACTTAACAAATAACATAAACACTAAACTTGCACTCATTTCACTTAATAATTCATGCACACTCTATTAATAAAGTAAAAGCTAAATTATTTTCTTTTTTTAAATAATATTGGATGGGTGTTCACGCTTCATTTTTCTTCTGCATTTCTTGAATAATTACATAACAATACATAACAAAATTATGACTGGTAGAGGGCTATTTTACAGAGGACAGCACACGCAGTAGTTATCTTGGAACTGGTGCATTAACTGCTTATTTGAGCGTTCCTCGTAATACATTACAGCAGCAAAATTCGCAGCGCGGTCGTACACCCGGTCCACTAAGCTCAGCGCGTGCTCGTAAGCCTCGACGATCTCGCTCAGCCTGTAATATGCAGGGTTCAGCTATTAAGCCGAAGTTGAGCGCAATGTCAGATCATGCATCTCGCAGTAAAATGCGTACGCCAATAGCATCACGTTCGAAAGCATTAAGCGCCGATCGCACAGTTAACTCCTACCAATCACCAAAGTCACCGCCTACAGCATTTATGCGCTGGCCAAAACCGGGAGAAATGGTGTTATCCGTCTGCGGAAGTCCAGTAGTAGCGCAAGTGTTAGTATATCAATATCAATTTAGTGTGAAAGTTTTACTTTAATCGTTTAAATGTATTTTTGTTACAGTATGCCAGATAAGTTTGCCAATGTCAATATTCCAGTAAAAAATGGCGTACTGTCTTTGCGGCCCAAAAAATTAAATGAACTGAAACCAGACATTGTGGAAGCAATTGATCCTGAAACGCTTGATCAAATTAAGACACTTCACGCAAATCTTAACGTTATAATGAATATGGCAAACAAAGCCATGAAATAAGATTTTGCCAAATATTTTTCTATTTTTTCTAATAACATTTTTTTGTTAATTTATATTCTAGTAATTATAATATTAACTTATTTTAATGCGTTCTATTTTTTTAGTCAAATAAATAACATTATAATTATGAAAATTGCTTAAACTAAGAAATGTATTAAATATGCAATATACGTAAAATAATCTTTATTAGAATTTGTAACAAAGTACTTGGTAAATACCACACAAATATAAATTAATTCTAAAATGAAATATATTGGAGCTATGTACCACAGTTTGAAATCGATAATGAATAAAGTTTTGTGAAAATATTGGTATTTTATTAAACTGTTAAGAGAGTTCAATGTTAAGGAAAGCTTCAGGATTCCAGATCAAAAAGTAATTGTTGCATGCATGAGTATATAGAATATATACCAAAATAAAGATGGATATTGTATGAAGAAATTATATATATCATGTTGTTAAACCAAAAATATATTTATATGCTTTATTAAAACAGCTAATTGGAGACATGTTTGTTGGGCTTATAGTCATATTCATAAAACTATTCTTCTTCAGTTCCTGAAGAGAAGTCATTTTGTTTCTCTGAGCTTTCAGTGCACAATATTTTTTGTGTTGCATTCTGGTTTTTTGTTGTCAAAGAGTTTACAAACGTTTTAAGGGCTTATCTATGTTGTTGCTCTTTTTTTTCATATAATGACGTAACTTTCGGTAATACAGTAGGTTTATGTCCATATATAGATGTTATTGTGACGTAGTTATATATTATTTTTCAAAGAATTTGTTAATTGTAAACTTAAAAGGATGACAGAAAATTCTGAGCTTATCAATTTAAATTTTATTAATTTGCCTTGATAGATGTTTAAACATTAGTAGTTAAATAATCCACATCTATTTCTAAGATGCTTCAATTCTAAATTGAAAAATTTTTTCTTGTTTCGTTATAATAAAGAATAAATTTACATTTAAATCAACTTATTTTTATATTTTGTAGTTATGTTAATTTTGATAAAAGTTTGTATTTAAAAAAATATGTACAGCATTTTTACAAAAAAAAATTGTTTCAGGTTCTACCGAGATTTGAACTCGGATCGCTGGATTCAAAGTCCAGAGTGCTAACCATTACACCATAGAACCGTCTTGGTGGGGGTTGTCAACATTACAAACAGATAAAACAGAACTAATTCACAATTAAAATATTCACAATTGACTTCTTCCTAAATTCATATTTTTAAACAAACTTTAGCAATAGACAATTCGCATCATATCAGCAAAAATAAGTTCTATATAATGAGTGCTCTTTAACTACAGCAATTTCTTTTGGACAGTGGATTAAAAATATGTATATATTTTAAATAGTAATTTGATTTTAACTTTTATAATATAAATAATTTTATTTTAAAATAGTTGTTAGTTGACTTTTTTTATTATATTTAATTGATAAAAAGATTGATGTAAATAATCAATAGAAGATTGATCAGTATTTATCCGTGTTTTTAGTTTTATATATGTAGTAATATATAGAAGTTTGTTTAATCTTAGTTTTAAATACCAAACATAAATAAAATAAAATTTTAATTAAATATTTAAAACAAGTTACTTATAATAAAGAATTTGTGAAATTATTCAAAATAACAACGATTTTAACGAATTCTGTGCAATATCTTAAATCTGAGTGACTTAGTTTAACTCTTGAATTGGCGATAATTGTAAACACCAATTCATTCAACGATTCATTCTTCATTGACTTACACTTAATTAAATATTAAGACAGAATCCTTTCTTCATGTGTTCTGCATATTCCTGCACAGCTAACTAAAAAACAGACTATACCTGAGCAATGGAACACGGGTATTTTAGTAAAATTATAAAAAAAGTAACATTTCCAAATGTAATAACTTTCGAAGAATTTCACTATTAACAATATCTAACCAAACTATTTCAAGGGATAATCTTAAACAAAATCTCTACGTGTTAGGCATATTCGACACTTGAAAAGCTTGTGTAGTAAAAAGCATCGAAGATCATTAGTACAAAACAAATAAACGTTTTATACACATACAGAAATTGTGTAATATGGATCGATTAAATGCTGTGACATACAGAGTGATATAAGCAGACAGTATGTTCAATGAAACTTGCAGGGCAGCATGATGGAGGTTTTGATGTTAATCATCAAACACCATGTTAAATATTCATAAATAAATAAATATATAAAATAATATTATATTAAAATAATCGTAATATTTTATTTTAATTTTTTATTCACTGAGGAGTTGCGTTAATGAACAGTGTCAGTTTTTAGCACTCATTTTTGTGTTATGTACATACATCCATATATACACGCATAAATATTTTGTCCTATATTCTGCAGTATTCCCATACTTTGCATAATTTTGCTAAACAAAATACTTGCAAAAAATAAAAATAATTACAATTTTCAAGTAATAACTTGAAAATAATAATTTTTTTTATACAATATAAAATACTAAAACCAAAGAATACGTTTTTTTAACTAAAATGATTGAAGATCATCGCGATGTATCCCGTTTGAATAATAATTTTGACAGCATGGAGGCATATGGTTCTATGGTGTAATGGTTAGCACTCTGGACTTTGAATCCAGCGATCCGAGTTCAAATCTCGGTAGAACCTGCGAAAGCATTAAATTTTTTGCTTAGTATGAAAATGAATGAATTTATATTTTAGAACTTTTTTACTCGCTGAGTCTATAGGAAATATTTAATAATAAATCAAATAAGAGTACTAAAAACAGGAAAAATTCAGTGATGCATACAAGAATCGGTAAAATATTTAATGTGGTCTTCAAGGTCCAGTACCATATCTTCGACAAAATAATATCCTTAAAAACAAAAAACATTTCCGACTGGTTGCTACCAAGTCGTGGACAGGTTGTTGAAAAATACTGATTTAGTGCATTACTCAATCCATTATTGCTTAATAACAGCATCCATTTTAATACGAACCGTAATAATAAATATTAATATTTAATAATTATTTTAATGCTACATAAAGGATTTTAATTTACCCATTAACTTACCCCTGATATCACAATATTTACATATTTAGTCTGCATTTCAATTATTTTTCTAAGACAAGAGTCGGTACCTTATTAATAGACATAATATTATAATTAATTTATAATAATATTAATTTTGAATTATGTTGACTGATTTTTTGAATTCTTTATTACTTAAAAAAAGCCCAGATTATTAGTAGCAGTTGATAGTGGTAAGAGATATTGAAATACTCTATAAACTCAATGCTTTACCGATTATTGTTCATTTCGTTTGGTATTATATATGTATATGAAATTTGGATATCTTCCTCTTCCTTGCATATACAAAAATTTTTAAATATAGATTGTAAGGATAGCAGCAGACTTCAAAAGTCATTTATATTATTTTAATTTTAAATATGAAATTTAAGAGGAATATCTGAAAGACCCCAGTATTTTGGGATCGAGCGAATGTAGGGTTCTATGGTGTAATGGTTAGCACTCTGGACTTTGAATCCAGCGATCCGAGTTCAAATCTCGGTAGAACCTAGCGAAAGCGAATTTTTTGATTAATACGTCATTAATGGCGAGCAGCAAATCACTATGATGAAAACGACTGTGGTGTCCTTCGGTTAAGCTTTTCAAAGTGAGAAAAGCAAAAAAAAAATGGTTGTCAATGGTTGTTGTAACCATTGATAAATTTAATTATATTTGAATATGTTTTCAATGTTTGCGTCAAACATACTTGACATGACACATTTACCATTGAAGATGTCTTATTTTACTAATTCGAAAAAAATATTTTTAGTGGCAGTATCACTAGCATTTAACTAGTGATATATAGAATAGTGGATGGAATTTAATTTGTTGTTATTGTATTGTAACAACAGTTGTAAATTGTTTTATTCGAATTCGAATAATTCGAATTTTGTGTTTGCTCGATACTAAGCACACACACGTCAAATTTAACTCTCATGTTGTTTGTATGCATCAATTTCTTATCAGTTTGAACTTTTGATTCTTCCCGAACTGCAAATTGATATATGTAGTTTTTATATTACCAACATCGATAACTAGTAACTATAAGTAGACCAAATGGAGCGTTTACTTAATAATGGTTTGATGTCAAAATTTCCAACTTTAAATCTCGGTATCTGGAAAACTTAGTTATATCGACAATATAACAAAAAGTAAAAATTTACTCATAATATGTGACTTCACTTAAATCAGTTGTCAGTTGGTTGGCGCACAATGCAGGTACTTTTACTGCCAATATAGGACCCATACACAATTCTGATTTTTTAATACAATAATAAAAAAAAATGCTTTAAAAAATTTAATTGTTATATATATGTATTTTTTATTTTTTTACTGCATATGTGGATTGCAATGCTAATAAATCAAATTACTTCAAGTACTTCTCGTCCGTCCGCAAAGTGAGGTAACAATTGTCGGTACTATTATAGCATTCGATTCAATTTTTATCGTTACCGGTTTATACAACCATCAACCGTCGTCAGTCGAAAAATATAGCTAGGGGATTCATGCGCTTTATAATCATATACGTCTTAGAGTGTTTTCATACATTTAGTTACTTTTGTGAAACCTATTTATTTGAATAGAATAATGCTTAAATTTCTGTTAATTTATTTTTAAACCGAGTGTTCCATTTATCATAGATCAGTCAGAGCAAATACTTGTACAAGTATTCTGCGTTCTATTCCAAAAGCTCTAAATATATCTAGTCAACTTTGGCCCAGTCTGCTATTGGAACAGGGCATTATTATGTGAAATGGGCATTTTTGGATTGTATGAAAATTTAAAAGTACGTTTGGAAAAAACTGCTTTTATCGACGGCAACTCAACAAGGTTCTATGGTGTAATGGTTAGCACTCTGGACTTTGAATCCAGCGATCCGAGTTCAAATCTCGGTAGAACCTGAATAACTTTTTTTCAAATTATACTTTTTTTATTAACAAATAAA